GTTCAAGCTCCTTGGATAATTTTTGTGATTGCTTGGCTCTTTTGTTCTTTCAGACCGTTGCAGTTTTTCCAGTTGTTCCTCATGGCGTTGTTCAACTCGGTTCTTCTCTGCCTGTAAGTTTCTGCAATTAACATTTTCCTTTCGATTTGCAATGTTAGTTGCTTTTAGTGAGATTGTTGAGTCATGTTTATGTTCAGATTATGGAGAACTTGGGGTTTGTGAATGATGTGAAAGATCTTATCCTGCAACTTGGATGCGTTCCTGGAGCTCTTTTATCTGAAAATTACAGAACGCATGAACCTGCTGCTGATTTTATTGGAGTGCCTGTGTCCCGGATAATACCTTCTCAAGAATACAATATCCTGCCATCTTCTGCTTTCATAGCTGAAACTAGCAATCCACAGTTCAACTCTAGCGGATCATCAGATCATCGAAATAATCAAATGGTTGACGAAGCGTCCTGTAGTTTTGTGGACGAACAGACCAAGCATGCAAATATGGGAGAGAGACAACAAGGAGGATGGCAAAACACGACGGGGTTCCTAGCAGCAGGGGAAGTAATAGTACCTTCAAATCCCGAGGCGTGGCTGAATCAAAACTTCTCTTTTATGTCTAATGTGGATGCAGCACAGCAACAAATCCCATGTGAAGACATCAGTTCCAAAGGCTCGCTTGGGAGCGATGGCTTGTTTGATATGTTGGGTTTGGATGATAAAAACAAAGGTTGGGGTGTTTCGCAGATGAGAACAGAAGTACTCACTAGGGAGTTATCAGACTTTAGGATAATACAAGAAATGGATTCTGACTTTGGTTCTTCGGGGTATGAACCTTCAGGAACAGATAATCTGTTAGATGCCGTGGTCTCAGGTGCTTGTTCCTCCACAAAACAGATCTCAGATGATACTTCTGAGTCATGTAAAACTACTGTGACCAAAGTTAGTAATTCTTCGGTTACCATGCCTTCTCACAATAGCCCTCAATGTAACCAGTTGTTTGAGAAGAAACATGGGACACATGTAGGGCCATCATCAGTTTACGGGTCTCAGATCAGTTCTTGGGTTGAACAAGCACACAGCTTGAAGCGTGAGAGCAGTTCAAGAATGATGGATAAGAATGAAACTGCAAAACCAGCTAATAACCGTAAAAGGCTTAAGCCAGGAGAGAATCCAAGACAAAGGCCTAAAGATCGCCAAATGATCCAAGATCGTGTCAAGGAGTTGCGTGAAATCATCCCAAACGGTGCAAAAGTAAGTGACAAATTCTCAGTTTTTGGCAAATTAAACAGTTTCTAAGAAAGATTATTGTTAAGAATATGGGTTTTGGTTAAACAGTGTAGCATAGATGCGCTCCTTGAACGCACAATCAAGCATATGCTCTTCTTGCAAAATGTCTCGAAGCATGCTGATAAGATGAAACAAACCGGGGAATCCAAGGTAACATATAATCATATTTTGTCGTCTTTAGTCAATTCTTGTTTTGACAATATTTGTTGTGTTTTAAGATGAAGAAAGATGAAGGTGGAGCAACATGGGCTTTTGAAGTCGGATCAAAGTCTCTGGTGTGTCCAATTGTCGTAGAGGATCTAAACCCGCCTCGCGTTTTCCAAGTTGAGGTAACACTGCTACCTCTCCTACCAGCAAGGTTCTAAAAGAAACCATTCAGGGTCTTGGTTTTTTATCAATTCCGTTTTCTAAGTTGTCTTCTATGGGGAATTTGTGACAGATGTTGTGCGAACAACGAGGATTTTTTTTGGAAATCGCGCATTGGATCAGAAGCTTAGGGTTAACGATCTTGAAGGGTGTCATCGAAACTCGAATAGACAAGATCTGGGCTTGCTTCACTGTTGAGGTAATTTACAAGCTAGTAGTTTGTTTATTGAAAAAAACAAAAGTTGATAGATTCATTTTAAAAAGACTATTGATTCACCAAGCTGGGCTTGAAATTGGATTTTAGGCGAATCGAGATGTGACGAGAATGGAAATATTCATGCAACTAGTGAATATTTTGGAGCAGACGATGAAGTGTGGAGGAGGAAGCTCTAAGACTATTTTGGATGGTATCAAAGCTACATTGCCCATTACCAAGTCGGTTACTGGTGGATGTTCAATGTAACATTATTGAGTGTACCGGACTGATTATTAAACCGGTTTGGTTAGGCTCAATTCTTGTAGAGGTTACGAGCGGACCGCACTTTGATTTAGAGAGAGGACATTTTTAATTTAAGTTTTTTTTTGTTTTTTTACTTTTTCTTTGTACATTTCTTTTTCTTTTCCCGAAGTTTTATTTCTGTTTTGAATTTATCG